TTTAAAACATAATCTTGATTTATGATATTAAAACAATTCTTGGGACTTTTATGGTCCAATTTGGAACATAATAAGATAAAAATAAATAATGCCCAATAATTATTTTAAGTTTTATTGTTTATTTTGGATTAGTTCCAAGAACATTTGGAACAAATTCCAAACCCGGTGCAATATGAGATTATTTTAGGATCTCCGGATATACAATTTTAGTTTATTTATTAAAATAAATATTACAATCTTTCAATATATCTGGTTACATATATTCATTCAACGAATGTAACTGAAAATGAAGTTTGATAAATGGCACTATGTCAGTGCGGAGGTAATGTGTTCTCAATGGTTTCCATGATAAGCTGCAACTGTTCATGATCAAGACAGTTTGCCACTCACACACTCGCCCGAAGTCTGCGAAGTGTTACAGATAACCTGTTTAACAGAATTTATTTCGTGTTGCTGATAATGTATCCTATAATGTTAAATTCGAATCAACAGATGAGTTGAAAAAATTAGAAAATTTGTTATTTTACTAAAGTTTAATTTACTTATTTTAATGATAAAAAATTAATTAATTAATTTATTTTTATTAAGACTTGAATGAAGAATTTTAGTCTTAAGCTTAGAATCTTGTAATTTTTGAGAAAATGCACAGAAATTTATGTAAAGCAAACTATTGTTTTCGAAAATAGCTTGTATTAGATTTATATCTCTGTATACTGTATATGTAAGTTACGTTTTTATTTAATAAAATAATTAAAAAAACTGAAAATGTATAGTGAAAATGTAAATTTATGGCTCTAAATCCACGAATAATTGGAAAGAAATGCTCTCCCATCCGCATCAGATCTACGCTTCAAGATCGGTAAAGAATGCAAATGCAATTCAACTGTATCAGAAAAGTTCTGGTTAACGTATCACGGAATTAACAAACTTGTTTCTTAATTGAATAAGTCATGTTTGATCTAATGGCAAAATTTCCAAACAGAATGTATAAATATTTGCACGAATAGAGACCTACCTTATAAATTTCAATGTAGGAAGTTACATTCACCTATAATAGCCTATAGATTTTCGAGTAACATAAAAATCAATCAGTAAGATCTTAGAAAAGTTCTATACAAACATCCTGTAATGTTTGAAATAGTACATCCTGGTTTCAATGAGTGACCAGTATCTATATCTAAACATGTCTGTGAGTATGGAACAGACAGATGTTTAAAGACGGTTGCAGGTGCCAAGTCGTTTACATCTCTCTGTTAAGCAGTAAAGGGAATTGATCATTCAGTTCTAATCATTAATAACATGTTTACATGTTGCAGGCGTGAAGAAATGAAAGGATAGGGCAATGAAGTAAAAATTCATAAATCTTTTAAAGAGAATGTGATCTTTATATACACATTTGCATGTTTAAAATTAAATTTTTTACATGCAAAATATGATAAATTTATACGAATAATTTTTTCGTGTAATCACTATTTAGCATCGTTCTTTGGGGATTGAAGAGGTGTTAAATGAAAAATTATATAAATGCAAGTTTAATTTAGTGATCTATGACATAAAATTGTAGAAAAATAAGCGTAAATTGATTTTAAGAAGGTGCAAAATGCAGAAAAATATTAAGTTGATCGTTATCATAATTTATTAATATTATATAGACTATATATAGTATATACTTAATGTATAAATTTTTGAACTTAAAGAACACGATAAAACATGACTTTTATAAAGATAGTAACTTATTTCAAAATGGAAATTTGGGTATCTCTATAAGATAATATATTCGTTCAAAGAATGCTCATGCAGTAGGAAACGTAATATAATCCACAGCTCATTCATCATCTTCCGGATCGACTAAAGGGATATTTAAACCGAACTTAAACAAAGATCTCTACAAAGTGTGGTAGGAAATCGTATGACAAATAGGGGAGGCAAATTGCTTTGTTTGATTAGTATCAAAAGCCTATACGACAATCTGTACATTAATTTGTAGTTCCCACCATATGTTATAACGGAAAAGAGCATTTTTAGATAAATTTTCTTTTTTATATTAAACAAAAATTGATAAAAGTTGCTCCTCTCATTTGAAAAAAAAAGTATGTGTTTAGTCTATATTTTTTTTTAGATTTAAAAATTAGTGTTTTTAATAAAGAATTTGTTTTTAAAAAATAATTTTAGATCTTAGTACAATCTAATTTTTACTTTTTCTTGCATACAAAATTCATTTTCTATTATAAACAATCTAAAGTTATAGATTTTATAAATTTAAGTCAATTTTAAGATTTCAAACATAATCTATATCAATTTTATACCAGAAAAGTCCAAAAATTCAGCTGTAGAGATAAGATTAAATCGGGCCTTATGCCTAATTTCAATCATCCTTATCAAAAATAATTCTGACACTTGTTACAATTAGCCATCTAATCTAACATAAATCAACGTTTATCAAAACCTGTAACTTATACAGTATTTTTTTTAATAAAAAAAAAGCACCTGTTGTGTACACGTGACATAACAATTAGCAGCAAATCTAAATTTAGAGGGGTGGTCAATTTTTGAAGAGACCACACACTGCGTGGGTGAATTATTTACTAATCAGTATGTTTACTATCGTCAGTAATCAGTAAGTTGATTTAGAGAACGAAACATTAGACTGTACATCATTTGCCGATCTTATTTTCTATGCTATCATTGCCTTTCGCATTGTATATATCTGATGGCATATAACTATGGCCCTATGGCCCTTTGTGTTATTTTTTGACTTCTGATATGACGATTGAATTTCTGTAAACCTATTAACAGTTTAATTTACAAAACCCCGCCATATTCGAGTTTTATATCATAATGTGAAGGTTTTAAATCATACTTTTCGGTTTAATATTTGAGTTTGATTCAATAACTTTATGAATTTATTAAGATTCTTAATTAGCATGATTAAATGTAATTTAAAATGAAAAATATTATATGCTTATAATTTTAATAATATTTAATATATGATAAAAATTTGATTTTTAAATAATATTTTATATTTTTTCTATGTAATTTTCTATGTTTTTTTTGTCATTTTTAAATTTAAAAAAAAATCTCTAAAATATGTACAAAATTCTCTTTTAAAGTTGGTAATTTGATTATGCAAAATTAAGAATTACATTAATTTTATATTATCTAATAAATTTCTTCTACAAAATCAAATTTAATTTTAAAAAAATTAATTAAATTATTTATCTATTTAAACATTTTAACCATTCAAACTAATTCAATTTAAAGTAATTTTTAATGTAATTCTAAAAATTTGCAATTCTTAAATTTAAACGGTGGAAGTCACGATACAAGTTAAAACATAAAGCATTTTATTGAATAAAAACTAAAGCCTACTATTGTTAGATATACAATATAGTAGACCTATAGAGTGCATTCACCTTTATACAAAGAAACAGAAGGTCTGGTGTGCATTTTTTGTGTTCGATTATAAATATATGTGGACTGTGTATTAAATATTGTTACTTAAAGTCGAAGACGTTGTTTAATAAGTGGAGTCGAGTATCGACGTGCTCAGTCCTGAGTCTGGCAGTCGATTATCTTCAACAAAGGACCACTGTGACACTACAATTCACAATTGTTTTTACACATTGTTAATATTTACTTTTTCTAAACCATTTCGATTACAATAAACATTTATTTCATTAATTATTATTATTATTTATTATATAGCACCTTATAAATCCACGATAAATTAATTCTTCTAAGTCGAATAACTTGCTTAAAAATCACATTTTTAAGGTTGCACTTCATTGTTTTAAAACAGGAATTTTGTTAATTTAATGCCAAGTTGATTGTATCAAACATTTAACCAGATCAACCGTTAAATAAGTTATCCAATAAAATCAAAATTTGAGACAATTTATTAAATAAGTTTATTTTAAACGATTCTTCTTTTATTATTATTTTTTTATTATGAAAATAGAATTCAGTTAAATGTATTATTATCGAGCATAAGGTACGATGAACTCAAAACCGTTAATTTTATAGTTAGAAATTCTTTACTTTTTCAGATTAAAAAAAAAAAGTAAAGAAAAAAAAAGTGAGAGATGTTCCAGCACGGACGTAAATCCCTCAAACTGTAACCTATAAAAATTGGGGATATATCGTAAAATTAAAAGCAACAGGCACATCGCTCAAATGCAGACATATTGGACAGATAAAAGTCAAGTGACTGTGGGAAAGGAGCACAAGTCACGTGACCCGGAGAGAGCGTGCGATTCTGGGCTAGGGTCGTCCCGTTCGACTTCACTATGTACTGTACTGTACAGTACTGTATAAGAGAAGAAGTAAAATCGACTAAAGAAATAAAATTTGTCACTGTCTTTTATTCATTTCTTTAATTTTTTTTAATATTATTAATCGCATGCTTAATATTTAACATTCAATACCCATTTTAAAAAAATTGTATTCTTATAAATCCTTAATAAATAAAATAATCTAAAATAAAGCGTGAAGATAATTCAAAATAATAATTTTTAAACAGACAAAAAGATTTATTACTTATTAAAAAAAAAAAAAAANAATTCTACAATTTTTATGTAATTAATTTTAATATATTGATATTAAAACATGTCTAACAAAATTATATTGAATTAATAAACAAGAAAATATATCTGATAATTTAAGTATTTTTTATTGTTTTTTTTTCATTTAAAAAATTCCAAACTTTTGAAAAAATATTTTTTGTTTTATATTACAAAAAAATTAAATTTTATATTTTCGGAAATAAATTTATTATTAAATTTTATTTATTTATTTATATATATTTTAAAACATGTATTTAACATCACAAAATATAAATATTATTACTTAATTATTAAAAAAAATTAATTATTTTCAGTTCTAATAATTAACTTAAACTATTTATAATTATGCAAATTATTTTATTATGTAATTAAATTATTGATAATTTAAACAGAAATAATTTCTTCATATTCATAAAATAACAAATTAGTTTCGTCGGTTTTACTATATAAATATAGGCCTATATGCATATAATTGTATATATATTATATATATATATATATATTGAAGCTAGGCCGTTTAATTGACTGTTTAAAGAAAATAATATATCATGTTTCATTCATTTTAACCAACTTAACCACGATCACTTTAACATTTTGGAAGTTATCCAAGGTCTTAACTGGGGATTGTCTTCAATTACATAACAGGACTTAGTTTAATTTTAAAACATTAAATCTTTTTACTATTAATATCGCATTTTATGTGATTAAATCGAATTAAAAAAAACAAAAATAAACGCGAACTGTTCCAGACAGTTAAGTGTATTTTTTAACCAATTTTTTATTGCCGTATATACACAATTCTTATATCTCCAGCAGCGTAGGAGACTAACATGTACAGTGAGTTAAATAAAAATGCTATATATTCCATTTTTTAAAAACAAAAAAATACTGTTTTTTTTAGTAATTTTTCACCAAATAATGCCACGATTTCTTCACCATGCTTGAAGACTCTGCGCTGTGTGGAGTTGCTGGACTTGAGGTTGCACGTTACCGTATCCTCCGTTAGTTTGTTGCATACCTGTTCCGTATGTAGAAACGGGTGTGTAACCTGCTGTAGGTGCACCTTGTGGTACGTAACCTCCTCCGACGTTATAAGCGGGTGCAGAAGCGCTATAAGAAGGTGGACACGGTTTCCCGTCTCTAACTAAAACAGGCACAGCTACTCGTCTCGGCGAGTGGATGTTAGCTGCAGTTAACTCTAAAGTTTTGTCTTGCCTTTGTCTTTTGCATTTATAACGGCGATTCTGAAACCAAATTTTGACTTGGGTGGATGTAAGTTTCAGCATATTTGCCAGTTGATCTCTTTCTGGTGCCGAAAGATAACGTTGCTGTTTAAATCGTCTTTCTAATTCGTATACCTGAGCTTGTGAAAACAAGACACGAGGTTTTCTCCTTGTTCTCTGTCGAGTTTGACCCGAATCTGATCGACAACTTGTAGAATTGATACTGTTATTGCGAGGTTGCGATACAGAAAGTTGGCAAGTCGTTTCTGTAAAAGATAAAAATAATATTTTAAAATTTGTAATAAATTATGCATATTTTTAATTTTTGTAATATATTCATACAACAAAAATTTCCGAAAGCATTACTTTTTCTTTGTAATTATATAGGATACGTGTGCTTTATATAATGTAGTAAGAACTAAGGAAGCAAAATTACTTAATACATAAAAAAAATATAAAAATAATTTTATTTCGAAAATATTTAATACATTTTATAATAGTAAATTATAAAATAATAGCGAAATAAAAGTTAGTTTGAATGAATAAGAAAAATTATTAAAATTATTTTCTGCTTAAAAGAAAGGATAGGCCTATGAAGAAATCATTATAGCATAAACTTAAAAAAATACATAAAAATTCCTCAAAAAATTATTTTTGAAATTATTGGAAATTTAACATCTCTCAAAAATTTGCATTTAATATCCCTATAAACAAAACGAAATATAACTTAAATCATATATAAAAACGATTTAGAGTTTTAAAATAATTAAAATTTTAATATAATTTAAAAATATTTATATTTGTCTTAATTAGGATAGTTTAATACATAGAATGTAGCAAATTCCATAAAGGAGTGAACCCGGATCTTCTTACGCAACCGTCTTTTGCAAAAAAGAAAATCTACCAGATTGATTTGTTTAATAATGCGCATACGAAACAACCTTCTAAATTCGTATTCATTTACTGTAAAAAATCTGTAAGTTTTTGAAAATAATCTTAATAAACAATTTTTTAAAGTCTCATTCTACAATCAATTACAATACTTTGGAATTTAATCATTTAGAACCCTATTAATTATATTTATCAATGAATAAATATTATATAATTCATTGAATCAAACAAATAGAATATTTCTGAAGCAATTCATCGCTAAATTGATAAATTGATTTTTATTTTAAATAATTAAATGACGAATTTTAATAAAACTCAATTTACTAGGCCTAACAAGAGAAACAAATATATTTTGCAAAAAAGAATTATTTAAAAATAAACTTGTTATTAAATATCAGTCATATTTAATGATGGATTATAAATTTCTTTATCAAATTCACAAAATAGAAGATTAAAAGAGAGCTGTTTCTAATTTGAATAGGCTAAGCGTTGCTTTATCAGAACGTTTGAATAAAATTTTGCTAGTTAATTATTAGTTTACTGGTGATGATTTTGATTAAATAATTCAGCTTCATTTTATTAAAATCTAGTAAAAATTTTATCAAATTTTATTTAATTCAAATGATATATAATTTAGTTTAAGTAAGCCTTTTACAATGGCCTGAGTTTAATGTCTAAACATATCGTAAGGAAGAATATAGAAATGATGAGTCGATCATTTACAAAAATTATTACAAAATGGAATATTTTTCCTCGTTTATGCTTATATATAGCTTAAATATACATATTATTTTAAAGCAATTTTATATCATAAATTATATTCATTCACGCTTTCGTATAGAAACCTCTCGAATTCATTCATATATTCAACAGAATCTTATAAAATTTGTAATTGTATTAAAGACAAACTATTAAATTAATTTGTTTAAAAATAACTACGTTAAAAAATAGAAAAATCTTTATTTAAAGATAGTCTTATGAATGAATATAAATTGAAATTTACGGACTTTGATCAAGGAAAAGAGACTTCATTCATTCTAAAATAATTTATTGCTAGATAAATACCTCAGGGATTATATTGTAACAACATCGCTCTCAGATATAAAATAATGAAAGTAGTTTTAACTTTCTATTAATGATTTTCAAATAAACATTTTTGCAAAATTGAACAAATTGAATTTTGTAATCTTGCGAAACTCGAGTTTTCGTCAAGTTTGTCAAATAAAATGTTTTTCTAAAAAGCTAAAAATGAATATTAACATTTGTTAAATAAACAATTTTACAAATATATTTTTAAAATACAAAGCTTATTAAAAATAAATTTCAAATTATCAAAAGAAGCTGAAATGAAACGAGAAGAGTTAATGTAGATAGAATTTTTTAAATTTTATGTCTAAAACATGAATAAATATAACTATTCTCATTAAAATATATAAATATATATTGAAATTTTTAATTAAATCAAGAAATAATAGCTTGATTACAACTAATAAACTTCGAAACAGAATAAATACAGAAAATATTTTAAGCTAAATTCAATATTATGAAGTAAAATTTTTTAGATACAAAATTACGAAATTAGGCACTATATTGCTAATTTTTGTAATTATTCTCTAAAAAATGCTATACATATATAAAATGTGTTTCTTCAGTCTTTACAATACGGTAGGCTTTATGCACCTGTAACTAGTAATAATTTGCAGTAGTTTTATACTTCTCTTAAGACTAATAATGAAAAAATATCATTAATCACAAGCGATAACAAGGATACAGCTTTTAAATGTAAAAACATGGCGAAATATTTATAGATGGATATACTATACCATGTATATCTATTGCCATCCCAATACAAAAACATAAAATTAAAAAGTTTTATGTATTGTATAAATAACAAATTTACACATTTAATAACAACATAATTACGTTTGAAATCAGTTATAAATCACGAAATTCTATGCATTTGAGAATGAATTGAGCAATTTAGGTTACAAGCTTACTTAATTTACGATGTTTTTACTTATTTTTAAATATATATTTTTTTCTCTCTATGTCTATATTTTATCATTTACACAAATGTTTCTACTAATATAAAATAAATCTAAATTTACTCATTTTTGTAACAATAATGTTATAAAATATTAATACTTTTGTGATTTTAAATCGTTTCAAAATGCACTCTGATTGTTTAAAAGCAATAAACTTTATTTTAAGAAAAATATAATAAAAAGTGTATAAAGTTTTCTTAATCCTTAAATATATAAATTCCTAAAATTCATATTATAGTCTACAATAGATATAAGTTTAACTATTGACATATACACAGGACATTAAAATATATAGATTCAATTAAAGTTATTCATAAATTATGCTTTTCTTATTGTTAAAAGTATGTTTATTTATTTTTTATAGCCTTCAACTATGCAAATATTTAGGTTTTTATCCATATTTTAAAAAATTAACCTTTTACATAATTTTTAAAAGCTTGCTGTTATAGGCGATTATAAAAAGAAGAAAATTTCCATATTTTTCACGATATAAAAAGAATTATTCATTTGAAAAATAAAATTTCAAATGAATAAAATTCATGTTAAAATTTTTAAATTTATATAATCAAGATGGCATTAAATTTTAAATTTTAAATTGCATAAAGACTCATTAATGATTAGTGTAAAAAATATTAATCATTAATGAGTTTTATGCAATATAATATGTAATATATTTAATATTTATAATATTAATATTTAATATAAAAATTTCTCACAAATTATTTGTAAATCTATATTATGATACAGTTATAAAAATAAAATTAGAATAAATTTTTTAATATACATAACACAAAAATATAAGTAACGTTGTCTTTTTTCCCCTTAACTTATAGTTTTCCCTTTTAGAAATAATAAAGCTGAATAAGCATATTTATATGTAACAAACTTCGAACGATTATTTATTCAATGTCCTGTAAAAGCAATAACAAATAAATAATCTAACTTCGTTTTTTAAATACATAAATGTATATTAAAACTAAAATGTTTAATGCTTAAGTCAGTTTGTTCAATTTTAATTATTGCTAGAATTTTCGTATCTCAAAAACTATGGAATAAAAGTCATGTGTTACGCTTTTTTATACAAGTAGAACTTTAGTAAACTTATTTTCTTAATTTTAATTTACAAAATATTTTTTAAAAATTTTATTAATATAAATAATTTTATTATTTTCGAATGAAGATTTGAATGATAGAGTTAAAAGATTTTAAAGAAAAAAAATGCAGACTTATGAAAAATTGTAAGAAATTTCATACTTGTTCATAAAAGGAAATTGATATCTAGTTTAAAACACTTCAGAAATTTCTAAAAAAATAAAAGAATTATGAATAAATACTCAATAATTATTTTACTTAGCACGCTTTAAAAATTCTTATAAAAATTTTAAAATTTTAAATGTAAACGAATTGCGTATTCATAAATATTAAATAAAATTTGATATATTATTTAACCTATTTAAGAGTTTTTTCTGAAAATTTTATCCGTAGAACTTGATATTTTTTAAATTCAAATGTCAAAATGAGGACCACGACAACTCTTTTCATTGAGTTGTCGTTGAAAGACGAATTCCTTAAATTAAAAATGGAAAAATAAATTCTGAAAACTTAATATTTTCTAAAACTTTTAATTTAAACACCATATTTAAGTTTATTTCCTTCATAAGAATTTTATAAAGATTTATTTTCTGTAGGCCTGAAAATCAACATTTTTCAATGAATTAGTATACCTAACGTCATATTCATATAGGCCTATACTGTATATAAAATTAAAACGGTTGGATGTATTAAAAATATTTTGATTATCTAAAAAATATATTAAAATTATAATTTTGATATATTATAATATAAAATTAAAATTTTAATTTTAATTTATTTATAATACTTTCCTCACAAAATATTTTAAACAATTCGAGTTTATATTTACGTATATCCAAATATAATAAAATTCAATCTTAAATAAAATTTTGAATTTTAGAAATAATATTAAGTATTTACTTATTAATTTTACATAAAATGAAAATTATGCTATAGCCATTTAATTATTTTTTAAAATAATAATTGTATATATTTTTTGATTTTTTTTATCAGTGCCGAATGAAAATAATAAGATAAAACCAAATGATAGCAAGGCTTTTGCAAAACAGTCTGAGATACACGACTCGAAACATTGACGATTAATCACAAGTAGCCTATCAAGAGTCGAAACGTGTGTCGACCTTTAACCTCTATCGACAAATATCAAATATTGACTTAGCTTTTAATTCAGACTCGGAGTCATGACCATCTTAAGTGGGAATAGATCCCCTCACAGTCTCTCTTAAGACAAGTGTTAC